ATTCGGTCAAACGCAAACTGTTGAACACAACGCGCTGAGTTTCAGCTCGATTGGTTCAATAGTTCGTGAGATATGACAAAATGTTGGAAAAAACTTATTTTTGCACATTGCAGCAATAGTGCTATTCGGTCAAACGCAACCTGCTGAGCACAACGCGCTGAGTTTCAGCTCGATTGGTTCAATAGTTCGTGAGATATGACAAAATGTTGGAAAAAACTTATTTTTGCACATTGCTGCAAATAGTGCAATTCGGTCAAACGCAACCTGCTGAGCACAACGCGCTGAGTTTCTGCTCGATTGGTTCAATAGTTCGTGAGATATGACAAAATGCTGGAAAAAACTTATTTTTGCACATTGCAGCAAATAGTGCTATCCGGTCAAACGCAACCTGCTGAGCACAACGCGCTGAGTTTTAGCTCGAGTGGTACAATAGATCGTGAGATATGAAAAAATGTTGGAAAAAACTTATTTTTGCACGTTGCAGCAAATAGAGCGCCATTCGGTCAAACGCAACCTGCTGAGCACAACGCGCTGAGTTTCAGCTCGATTGGTTCAATAGTTCGTGAGATATGACAAAATGTTGGAAAAAACTTATTTTTGCACATTGCAGCAAATAGTGCTATCCGGTCAAACGTAACCTGCTGAGCACAACGCGCTGAGTTTCAGCTCGATTGGTTCAATAGTTCGTGAGATATGACAAAATGTTGGAAAAAACTTATTTTTGGACATTGCAGCAAATAGTGCTATCCGGTCAAATGCAAACTGCTGAGCACAACGCGCTGAGTTTCAGCTCGATTGGTTCAATAGTTCGTGAGATCTGACAAAATGTTGGAAAAAACTTATTTTTGCACATTGCAGCAAATAGTGCTATCCGGTCAAACGCGAACTGCTGAGCACAACGCGCTGAGCTTCAGCTCGATTGGTTCAATAGTTCGTGAAATATGACAAAATGTTGGAAAAAACTTATTTTTGCACATTGCTTCAAATAGTGCTATTCGGTCAAACGCAACCTGCTGAGCACAACGCGCTGAGTTTCAGCTCGATTGGTTCAATAGTTCGTGAGATATGACAAAATGTTGGAAAAAACTTATTTTTGCACATTGCAGCAAATAGTGCTATTCGGTCCAACGCAACCTGCTGAGCACAACGCGCTGAGTTTCAGCTCGATTGGTTCAATAGTTCGTGAGATATGACAAAATGTTGGAAAAAACTTATTTTTGCACATTGCAGCAAATAGTGCTATTCGGTCAAACGCAACCTGCTGGGCACAACGCGCTGAGTTTCAGCTCGATTGGTTCAATAGTTCGTGAGATATGACAAAATGTTGGAAAAAACTTATTTTTGCACATTGCAGCAAATAGTGCTATTCGGTCAAACGCAACCAGCTGAGCACAACGCGCTGAGTTTCAGCTCGATTGGTTCAATAGTTCGTAAGATATGACGAAATGTTGGAGAAAACTTTTTTTTGCACATTGCAGCAAATAGTGCTATTCGGTCAAACGCAACCTGCTGAAGACAACGCGCTGAGTTTCAGCTCGATTGGTTCAATAGTTCGTGAGATATGACAAAATGTTGGAAAAACTTATTTTAGCACATTGCAGCAAATAGTGCTATTCGGTCAAACTCAACCTGCTCAGCACAACGCGCTGAGTTTCAGCTCGATTGGTTCAATAGTTCGTGAGATATGACAAAATGTTGGAAAAAATTTATTTTTGCACATTGCAGCAAATAGTGCTATTCGGTCAAACGCGACCTGCTGAGCACAACGCGCTGAGTTTCAGCTCGTTTGGTCCAATAGTTCGTGAGATATGACAAAATGTTGGAAAAAATTTATTTTTGCACAATGCAGCAAATAGTGCTATTCGGTCAAACGCGACCTGCTGAGCACAATGCGCTAAGTTTCAGCTCGATTGGTCCAATAGTTCGTGAGATATGACAAAATGTTGGAAAAAATTTATTTTTGCACGTTGCAGCAAATAGTGCTATTCGGTCAAACGCGACCTGCTGAGCACAACGCGCTGAGTTTCAGTTCGATTGGTCCAATAGTTCGTGAGATATGACAAAATGTTGGAAAAAATTTATTTTTGCACATTGCAGCAAATAGTGCTATTCGTTCAAACGCGACCTGCTGAGCACAACGCGCTGAGTTTCAGCTCGTTTGATCCAATAGTTCGTGAGATATGACAAAATGTTGGAAAAAATTTATTTTACACATTGCAGCAAATAGTGCTATTCGGTCAAACGCGACCTGCTGAGCACAACGCGTTGAGTTTCAGTTCGATTGGTCCAATAGTTCGTGAGATATCACAAAATGTTGGAAAAAATTTATTTTTGCACATTGCAGCAAATAGTGCTATTCGGTCAAACGCGACCTGCTGAGCACAACGCGCTGAATTTCAGCTCGATTGGTCCAATAGTTCGTGAGATATGACAAAATTTTGGAAAAATTTTTTTTTGCACATTGCAGCAAATAGTGCTATTCGGTCAAACGCGACCTGCTGAGCACAACGCGCTGAGTTTCAGCTCGATTGGTCCAATAGTTCGTGAGATGTGACAAAACGTTGGAAAAAATTTATTTTTGCACATTGCGGCAAATAGTGCTATTCGGTCAAATGCGACCTGGTGAGCACAACCCGCTGAGGTTCAGCTCGTTTGGTCCAATAGTTCGTGAGATATGACAAAATGTTGGAAAAAATTTATTTTTGCACATTGCAGCAAATAGTGCTATTCGGTCAAACGCGACCTGCTGAGCACAACTCGCTGAGTTTCAGCTCGATTGGTCCAATAGTTCGTGAGATATGACAAAATGTTGGAAAAAATTTATTTTTGCACATTGCAGCAAATAGTGCTATCCGGTCAAACGCGACCTGCTGAGCACAACGCGCTGAGTTTCAGCTCGATTGGTCCAATAGTTCGCGAGATATGACAAAATGTTGGAAAAAATTTATTTTTGCACATTGCAGAAAATAATGCTATTCGGTCAAAAGCGACCTGCTGAGCACAACGCGCTGAGTTTCAGCTCGATTGGTCCAATAGTTCGTGAGATATGACAAAATGTTGGAAAAAATTTATTTTTGCACATTGCAGCAAATAGTGCTATTCGGTCAAACGCGACCTGCTGAGCACAACGCGCTGAGTTTCAGCTCGATTGGTCCAATAGTTCGTGAGATTTGACAAAATGTGGAAAAAAATTATTTTTGCACATTGCAGCAAATAGTGCTATTCGGTCAAACGCGACCTGCTGAGCACAACGCGCTGAGTTTCAGCTCGGTTGGTCCAATAGTTCGTGAGATCTGACAAAATGTTGGAAAAAATTTATTTTTGCACATTGCAGCAAATAGTGCTATTCGGTCAAACGCGACCTGCTGAGCACAACGCGCTGAGTTTCAGCTCGATTGGTCCAATAGTTCGTGAGATCTGACAAAATGTTGGAAAAAAATTATTTTTGCACATTGCAGCAAATAGTGCTATTCGGTCAAACGCGACCTGCTGAGCACAACGCGCTGAGTTTCAGCTCGGTTGGTCCAATAGTTCGTGAGATCTGACAAAATGTTGGAAAAAATTTATTTTTGCACATTGCAGCTATTCGGTGAAACGCGACCTGCTGAGTACAACGCGCTGAGGTTCAGCTCGTTCGGTCCAATAGTTCGTGAGATATGACAAAATGTTGGAAAAAAATTATTTTTGTACATTGCAGCAAATAGTGCTATTCGGTCAAACGCGTACTGCTGAGCACAACACGCTGAGTTTCAGCTCGATTGGTTCAATAGTTCGTGAGATATGACAAAATGTTGGAAAAAAAATATTTTTGCACATTGCAGCAAATAATGCTATTCGGTGAAACGCGACCTGCTGAGCACAACGCGCTGAGGTTCAGCTCGTTTGGTCCAATAGTTCGTGAGATATGACAAAATGTTGGAAAAAATTTATTTTTGCACATTGCAGCAAATAGTGCTATTCGGTCAAACGCGACCTGCTGAGCACAACGCGCTGAGTTTCAGCTCGATTGGTCCAATAGTTCGTGAGATCTGACAAAATGTTGGAAAAAAATTATTTTTGCACATTCAAGCAAATAGTGCTATTCGGTCAAACGCGACCTGCTGAGCACAACGCGCTGAGTTTCAGCTCGATTGGTCCAATAGTTCGTGAGATATGACAAAATGTTGGAAAAAATTTATTTTTGCACATTGCAGCAAATAGTGCTATTCGGTCAAACGCGACCTGCTGAGCACAACGCGCTGAATTTCAGCTCGATTGGTCCAATAGTTCGTGAGATATGACAAAATGTTGGAAAAATTTATTTTTGCACATTGCAGCAAATAGTGCTATTCGGTCAAACGCGACCTGCTGAGCACAACGCGCTGAATTTCAGCTCGATTGGTCCAATAGTTCGTGAGATCTGACAAAATGTTGGAAAAAATTTATTTTTGCACATTGCAGCAAATAGTGCTATCCGGT